CTACCATTAGACCAGGAGCTTGAACGGACCTGTAGGAACTTCAAGCGGGCTCCAAAGGCGCGACTGGCTGCGGAGGAGGCGCTAGCACAGCTGCAAATCACCGACGAAGAAGAGATGGCTGACCCACAGGACCATGATGTGGTCCTTCCTGAGGAGCAAACCATGGGGTACTACTGGACCGCCAGAGCCGCGGACATGAGGTCTCCCATTCAGCACCCTCATGTACCAGCCAACAACTTTGAGGTGAGCACCTCGGTCATCACTATGTTGCGCGGCTCGGTAGTATTCCGTGGAAAAGAGGGGAAGTGCCCCCGATCACATCTGAGGCGATTCCACGAGCTTATCGATGGAATCAAGATAAATGGGGTCCTAGCCGATGCCATCTAGCTGAGGTACTTCCCATTCACTTTGGAGGGGCAGGCCAAGGAGTGGCTGGACACCAGGCCCCCTGGATCGATCACCATGTTCGCCAACCTGGCGGACAGGTTCCTCACTCGCTACCATATCCCGTCCAAGACGGCGGACCTGCAGAAGCAAATTACCCACTTTGCTCAGGATGAAGATGAGACCATCCGGGATGCTTGGGAGAGATACACCAGTCTCTTCCTCAAGTGTCCCAACCATGGTTTTATCGACGCCTTCAAGGTGGTCACATTCTACCATGCCCTCTTCCCGGAAGACAAGCAGCTGATTGACTCGGTCTGTGGTGGGAATATGCTCACCAAAACACCGCCACAGCTGAATCAACTTTTTGAAGAGATGGAAGAGCAGGGCTATGATTGGGGAATTGTGAGGAGATCGAGACGAGCACCAGGTCAGACCATTCCTCACCCGCATGACCCAAATGAGCACTGCAAAGCTATTACTACCAGGAGTGGCAAGATGACTGCTGATCCACCTGTGCGGGCACAGGAGAGAGAGACCCCTGCTTCAGAACTTCCAGGTAATGAGGAGGAAATGGAGAATGAGGTTGAGGTGCCTGCTCCTAAACCGCAACCAGTGGTGAAGGAGTATGTACCGCAGCTTTCCTTTCCTACTCGGTTGCACAAAGACCGACTGGAGACTGATATTGCCAAATTCATGGCAATGCTGAAGCAGGTAAACATAAGCATGCCCTTCGTGGAGGCGTTATCGAAGATGCCCAAGTATGCCAAGTTCATGAAGGATCTCCTCACCAACAAGTGGAAGCTTGGGGAGCTGTCAACGGTGATGCTCAACGAGGAGTGTTCTGCCATCCTGCAGAACAAACTACCAGAGAAGCGAAAAGACCCAGGGAGTTTTACTATCCCTTGCATGATTGGTAGTTTTCATATAGGAAGTCCTTGGCGGATTTAGGCGCTAGCATAAATGTCATGCCATATAAACTGTTTAAAAAGCTAGGCCTAGGTGAACCCAGTGATACTAGGATGAGCATTCAACTTGCTGATAGATCCATTGTGCATCCTAGGGGCATTGCAGAGGACTTGATAGTCGCAGTAGGGCCATTCTCATACCCTGTTGATTTTGTGATTTTGGACATAAATGAGGATGTGGATGTTCCATTAATATTGGGTAGACCTTTTCTCGCCATCGCCAATGCGCTCATTGATGTGAATGATGGGAAATTGATTTTGCGAGCTGGGGGTGAACAAATCACCTTCTCTGTTTATGATAATATGAAACACCCCCAGCTCCATGATGATCTAGACTACTGTGATGTTGTTGCTGATTTTGAGACCGCACTCGCCATCACGAGTGCGGGTACTAAAGATTTCCTCGAGCGTTGTCTTTTGCTAGGGGAACAGGCATCACAGGATGTGCAGCTGGAGGACCAGCTCGCGGAGCTAGACGAGGCCCCGATCGAGGGGCGAGAGATACCATTCAAGCCGATCCCTATCTCGCCCCGGATCGCTTCATCATTGGAGGAGCCGCCAGAGCTGGAGATTAAGCCCCTCCCCTCTCACCTGGAGTATGCATTTCTCCGGGAGGGGAATAAGCTCCCGGTCATTATCAGCTCGGATATGACACCCGAGTAGAAGAGCAGACTGGTGGCTCTGCTGTAGAAGTATGCGCGGGCCATGGCTTGGAAGATCACAAATATCAGAGGCATTAGCCCATCCTTCTGCTCCCACATATTTCTGATGGAGGATGAGGTTAAGCAGTCAGGAAGCCACAGCGGAGATTGTCTCCCAACTTGGAGGAAGTGGTCTGGGCAGAGATTATGGAGCTCATGGATGCAGGGATCAGGGATCATCTTTGCTATATCTGATAGCAAGTGGGTCAGCCCCACTCAGGTGGTCCCGAAGAAAGGCGGGATGACTGTGGTCCCGAATGAGAAGAAAGAGCTGATCCCGATGCGGATCGTGACCGGCTGGAGAGTCTGCATCGATTACTGGCGCCTGAACGACGCCACCAGGAAAGATCATTTTCCCCTACCTTTCATTAATCATATGCTGGAGAGGTTGGCTGGCCATGAGTTTTATTGCTTCCTGGATGGCATGTCTGGTTATTTCCAGATTCCTATCGCACCAGAGGATCAGGCGAAGACCACATTCACTTGCCCCTTCGGTACCTTTGCTTACCGGAGGATTCCATTCGAGCTGTGTAATGCACCGGCGACCTTCCAGAGATGCACACTGGCGATCTTCGACCGACTGGTTGGAGAGATCATGGAAGTCTTCATGGATGACTTCTCGGTCTATGGAGACTCCTTCACTCATTGTCTCCATAACCTAGAACTCGTTCTGAAGAGGTGCGAGGAGACTAATCTGGCACTCAACTTGGAGAAGTGCCATTTTATGGTCCGTGAGGGGATTGTGCTCGGGCACAAGATCTACAAGCAGGGGATTGAGGTGGATCGCGCGAAGATTGAGACGATTAGTAAGTTACCTCCTCCCATTTCTGTGAAGGGGATTCACAACTTTCTGGGTCATGCAGGCTTCTACCGGCGCTTCATTAAAGATTTCTCGAAGATTGCCCTGCCTCTGACGAAGCTGTTGGAGAAGGATGCACCATTCCAGTTCACTCTTGAGTGCACAGCTGCATTCGAGACACTGTAGGAGAAGCTTACCCATGCACCTATCATGGTGACTCCTGACTGGTCTCTTCCTTTTGAGCTGATGTGCGATGTGAGTGACTATGCAGTCGGAGCAGTTCTGGGTCAGCGACGCATAGGTGCATGAGAATTACACCACCACTGAGAAGGAGCTCCTGACTGGTCTCCAGCCCATCTATTATGCGTCGAAGACCTTGAACGACGCACATGAGAATTACACCACCACTGAGATGGAGCTCCTCGCTGTGGTGTATGGATTTGATAAGTTCTTACCATATCTGGTGCTCTCCCATGTGGTGGTATACAAAGATCACTCGACAATTCGCTATCTGATGAGCAAGGCTGATGCAAAGCCTATGCTCATCCGCTGGATCCTGCTTCTGCAGGAATTTGATATAGAGATCTGGGACAAGAAGGGAGCCGAGAATGTTGCTGCAGATCATCTTTCACGGTTGGAAGCCCCTCCGATGGACAACTTCGTGGAGGAGATCGATGAATCTTTCCCGGGTGAGTGATTGCTGGCAATGACTTTGGTGGACATCGTGGCCCCTTGGTATTTTGACTTTGCCAATTATCTGGTTGGCAAGAAATTACCAAAGGGGATGGCCACTCATGCAAAGCGCAAGTTCTTCTCCGACCTGAAGCATTACTTCTGGGAGGATCCTTACCTCTTCAGGATCGGAGCAGATGGCGTGATCCGGCGCTGTGTCATGCAGCACGAGATGGGAGACATCCTATCTCAATGCCACGAGGGACCTACTGGAGGTCGCCATGGAGGAAACCGCACGGCGCGGAAGGTGCTACAGTCGAGCTTCTATTGGCCCTCGCTCTTCAAGGATGCAGACACCTTCGCACGACAGTGCGACCACTGCCAAAGGTCAGGTAAAGAGATATCAAGCTACTGTCGGATCTTCCGCAGTTTAATCAACAGTAAATCAACCCAGGGTAATTACAACTGAGACCTAACTAAGGAGCTAGGGGGACTCATTCCCGAGTGACTCTTCATTTGCTTTAGAAAACCGAACCATTTCCTGCTTTCTTACTGCTTTTAGTTAAAACCAAAATCAATCGACTTAGTTTGCTAGATAACAAATATACACGGAGTAGGTAGTAGATCTAGACCCCGGGTTGATAATTAGAGCTTGCCTGTTACTACATTTCCGAACTGCGATTACACTTGGTCGCAGTTTGGTGTTGCGTTTTAGCATGTCAATTTCCCATCCTCACCAATTTGAATGGACAACAAAGACATGCATTTGATATGATAATGGCTTATGTTACCTCTCCATCTACGCAGGAATCGAATTTTTACTTCCTTTATGGACATGGAGGAACCGTAAAAACTTTTCTGTATAAGACAATGCTTGTGCATCTCAAGGAACTTGGTTAGATTGTCCTCGTGTTAGCATCGTCAGGAATTGCTGCAACATTGCTTCCTGATGCAAGTACAGCCCATTCTTGCTTTAAGATACCACTCGAGATCGACCATGCCTCTTCGTGAAACATTAAAAAAAGGAACACCACTTGCTCAGTCAATTATTGATGCAAGTCTTATTATATGGGATGAAGCCCCGGTGGTTCATCGGTTGTCTTTTGAAGCAGTTGATCGAGCATTTTGTGATGTTATGAATGTCCCTTTTACCGGTCCTCATTATAAGCCTTTTGGAGGTAAACTGATGCTGCTAGGAGGGGATTTTTGCCAGACATTGCCGGTCGTCACTGATGCTGGAAAAGAGGAGAGCGTAGATGCCTCTCTTACGCGCTCTTACATTTGGAACTTCTGTATTGTGCTTCCGTTGACTCAGAACATGCGCATTATACCTTCCTCTTTAAATGAAAGAGAGTCATTGTGGAATGGATTTCGTCGATTGGACTCTTTCCATTGGCAATGGAAGTATTCTAGGGAAATCTTTTGGTGATAATCAGCCACCTGATTGGATAGAGATCCCACAGTCACTGTTGATTGATGCTACAAGGGCACCTATTCAAACAATGGCTTCTCATATCTATACTGATTATCACCCACTTCCACAGTGTTTCCTACCTTACTGAAAGGTCCATCATCACACCGACAAATCGAAATGTCACAGAACTCAACTCCCATATGCTTGCTTTGCTTCCAGGGCAACCACAAACCTATTTTAGTAGTGACACTCTTCATACAGATTCAACCGATCCAAACCGCCTCGAGGCAGAATATCCAACTGAATTTCTTAACAACCTCTCTTTCAATGGATGTCCGGAACACCAGATTGACTTGAAAATCTTTGCACCTATCATGTTATTGAGGAACTTGAACCCAGAAATCGGATTATGCAATGGCACCATGCTTATGGTTGTTTACTTGGGACACTATGTCATAAAAGGAATAATTATGGGCGGTGCCTTTGATGGTAAAACTGTTGCCATTCCCAGGATTGTTCTTAACATCAATGATTGCCGATGGCCATTTATTCTCAAACGACGACAATTCCCAGTCCGACTTTGCTATGCTATGACGATTAATAAAAGCCAAGGTCAAACACTTCAAAGTGTTGGGGTGTATCTGCCAAAGCCTGTGTTCAGTCATGGTCAGTTGTATGTCGTTGTCTCTCGGGTTAGATCACCTGCTGGCCTACGCTTTCTCATTGTTAACGAAGACGGGATTCCCTCCAATTATACTCGCAATATTGTGTATCAAGAAGCTTTTGCCGACATTCAACCGCATGTTCCTCATGAATAACCTATCTCTCAATGGTATGTATTCTACACTTGTATTTACTTTCCCATAAAAAAACATCTCCGGTATTAAATAAAAATTCTTATATACTTGCTGAATTTATTTCTGTGCTTCCTCTTGCAATGCTAGCTTCAACTATTCAAACACACTTTGCATTCATGCATTACTCTTAAAGGGGCTCATGTTTAACCAGAAAACACACACTTCAGATTTGGGTCGTTTGAGTAGCTTAAACATGCTTTATGGATGCAGATTATCCTCTTTGTCAAGGAAGTGGAGATATAGATCATGGAAATGAAACGCCTGCTAGAAGTAAGGATTACAAAGTTTCTGGTTGAAATCTGATGCTTGATGAAGCGAGCCAGTCTTGGTAAGCCAATCGCCCAGTCCTCTTTTGGTCCTTCAGTTCTTTAATATATGCCTCAATGCACACTGTTGCTCTTCAAGTTCTTATATATAACTCACACAAGACCATATAATATGTTGTTGCTTTGTTCAGAAGAAATAAAAGGAGACTCTTCTGTGCATCGAGATAGCTGAATTTAAATGTGTGCGAGTATTTATTTGTTTAATATCTATGGATGAATTACGCCGTGTCGATGATGCACTTCATTCGTACATAGCTTTCTTTGCAAACATTATACTTAAAACCAGATTAAGTTACAGAACTCAAGGAACAACTTTATATTTCCATTGTTAAGAACCTCTGTGAAGATTTAACCGAGCCTTACCATTACTGCCCTTAATTGATCCTTGCCCAAGCCTGGGGATAGAAACTCTTTTCCTCAGAGCTTTCACTAATTATGTCGATATGTTTGTTGGCTAATTACATAAGGGTTTGACAATCTTTCTTTCAAATCTATGTTTGTTGCCTGATTTCACTTGGGTTCGACTCTTTCAAATTTGCTTGCTTGTTTTAGTGCTTTTTCTTTGTTGTTTGTTCAGTTAAACCATTTGCCTTTTACTTGAGTATGTCTTTTTTGGCCACCTGATTTCCTAACCAAGTTGCGTTCTTATATACTCGATTTATTAGGTTTTGTAGTTCCAGTCTAGCTGACAACTGTATCTGCTTGGAAATGCTTTGCATTGACGTACCACTCTTGATGGGGAGGTCAGACCTCATTTCTCACCAGTTCCAAAATTGCAGCACACTGTCTCTATTCTGCTGTCTGCACACCTCTGAACATTTACAGATGACCATTGACTACTTTTTTGTGTCCTCAGGAGGCGAACTAACCTGCTCAATTCTCCTTTGCTTATTTTGCAGGAACTTTATTTAACTAGTTAGGGTATGGTATGTAATATCTTAATGTGTAGCCTCTGCTTCATTTCTCTAGCTGATGTTCTTGCCACTGCTTTCAGTTTATAGTGGGTGTAAAAACAGTATACACCAAACCTCAATGACACACTTGGGTGGCCCAACTTTTGTGACGAAATAATATCACTTTGCTTTAAACAATTGGGCCCATTCTTTTTAGTCTGGGTTTCACCCACTTGCAATCTTCTTTGTTCAACCCAAACACCCAGCTACTCCCTTTCATATATAAAAGAAACTCGGGTTTCCTTATACAGTGCCTATTATGGAACCTTCAGCTTAGCTTCAGTTTATTCTCATCACTCCCTGCATCGTTGAATCCGCCCGAAAGGCTATTCTTTCCCACTTCCTCATCTCTAGTCAATTTGCTTTTATACCATGAATAGTAGTGCATCCTTTTATTGGCCTGACTTATTGGACTTTTGGTTGTCAAATTCATTTCCGCATATGAATCTAGGGTTTCACTTTACATTTCATCATTTTTCATTCTTTCAGTTCACCGAAGACCTAACCTTTCTCTTTCTGGATTTTCAGTATCAAATCGTAGAATGTCACTCAGCTATACACTTCCAAGTTGCCTAAATGGTTCGCTTGCTCACACTAAAATCATTCTCATGTCCCTGCCTATTGTTCGTCAAAGAAACTCAGACGGATAGTTCTTTCATATTTTATTACATGAATGTACTAATGCCCATTTTTATCAGTAATTGCATCATATTTTCTATCTTTATGCTAATTTCAGACCCAATTAATACATAAGCTACAGTCTGGCATCTTCATGGCAACTGTTTATCTGGACACATCGTCCTTCGCTTGATTCATATATGGCTTTCTGATGAATACATAGGCGCGGAGAACAACAAGTTCATGTATACTTTATGGGTTGACAGAGAGGTTAGTCTGTTGAATGCCTAGATTAATTTCCTCTTGCTAATTATGAAAATCTATGCTACTTCATGCTCACTATTCTTTTTATAGGAAACTTTAATTGAGGGGGTGACCGGCAAAATTGATATGCCTAATATCGAACCTCTTCTTGAGGTAGGGAAGCTCTACATGCTGCAAAAAGTTCCCCTAACCGTAGCGAGGCGTACTCAAAGAACTGCACCTGGAAATTTGCGTCTTTACCTTCGAACAGGCCAAATTTGCAGGAAACTTGATGAAAATCAAACCAGGAAACAGTTCCCCGTTAATGGATTTAGAAGCACAAAATTTGAAGAACTTTACGGAATGACCTCGGATCCAACTCACTTGGCAGGTCATCTCTCCCTTATTATATCTTCGTTCTACAGGTATTCACCTCATACTGGTTTCCTTGCGCATGTTTAGATTTCACAGGTCGCGTTTTATCAATATCAGAACCAATCTAAAGTAGTGATAACATTGTCCTCATGCTGGTCCAAATAGAAAACACCAAGTCCATATTCAGAATTCCTCTTGCATTCAACTTATTGGACCCAGGCTAACATCTATTTATGCTAGCAGAAAACAAACTGTCGTCATCAACTACACAGATGCCTATGATGATTTCTACTATTGGGCTGAAGCAACTGAACTCAAATATCCAGTGATCGCGACCTTACAAGCATCTTGGTTACTTAGCCTGAACCGAATTGTCCGACACTTGATCTCTTCATTCGTTAGCCTGGATTTTGCACGCATCTGTACTAAACTAAAACCTTTCTATGCATATCAATTGCTCTTAACCAGCACAAAAGCAACACGCAGAATTCATGGTTCGTATTCGGATAATTACAGGCCGCTGATGAACAGGTTACCTATACCTTAACTCTTTCCCTTGCTTTCTATTGTGCAAACTTGTCCGACAAAATGTACATTATTTATTCCGTTGCAGGTTTTTACATGACCACAGGCCAATTTCGATTCTTCAGGATTCACTAGTTCCAATTTTCAAGTCCTTCAGACACCCTTTGCCGACTGCAGCTACACTCACCACAATGATTCAATTACTTGCTACTGATTTAGTCAATCTTGAGTTTGATTAAGTATAACCGGTCTTACCTTACTCCCAAAAACACCTTGCTCACCTATTCATTCTTTCGTGTAGGCACGATACTGGTGCTTGGCAAAAATTGATAGTGTTCCTGCAGACCGACAGCTGATTAGACATGAAGCCGGTTCTATAAGGTAAGGTAGATAAATATGTACACGGACACTTTATCATTTGCAAATGCTTAAAAATTTTGTGATGATGAAACAGGTATGATGCATTAGTGTGTTGTAACGATTTAATTAGAACATAGATGGTCAAATTCGAACATGATGCAATGGTTCAGCTACTAAAGTTACCACTCGACGAGTTTCATGGACTGTAGTTTGACAAAGAAGCCATTCTTCGAGAATTTGAAGGCAAATACTTTACTCTAGAGATCCGTATCATTCGTGCATTCCGTGTCACCACGCATATCGCTGTTACAACAATCTCGAACCCTCTTTGTATAAATGTTGCTTAGTTCAAGTTAAGCAAAATGGTTTCTCTATTATGTACCATTAGGGAGTCATGTTGCTGAGCTCTTCCCATCTAATTCTAATAACCAGACATGTGGATTGGATTTTAGTAGGCACCTTAACTTGTGCAACACCCCTACGCAGTTATTTATAAAGGACTTAGTATTATGTACTAAATATTATCCAAGCCCGTTATACTGCTGGCCTCTTCCTATATAGTTATGATTACCAGGAATTTTGGGACGTTTATGTATGAAACTTATGTTATTCATGCTGATACAACTAATCTTCTAATATCTCAGGTCAATACAAAATCATTGACATGCCTCTTCAAGGAAGATCCATACAGTTTCATACACAGATGAGTGTTCCTTTTACGAAATTCTATACACCACAATGATCACTTATCTTGATTGTTAGATCATTATGCAGATTCTCAACTATATTGGTTACCAGATCTTGAATAGGTCCATTCATATTTTAATTTAATCTTTAGGGAGATCTATATTTATTAATCAAGTAGAAATAAGAGTTTCCAAACAAGTCCTCTCTAAGAAGAGGTACAATAACAACAAGTGGGTTATCAACCCATATCTCTTTCTCATCCCAATAGCACTCTACTTGGCCCATAGTATGGACCACTTTGTTCTTTCCTCGGGCCGTAAAGTTCCATACCCATTCATATTGAAACCCACTCATAAAAAAAATATAGTCCCATTCCAAACAACCCAGTTGGAATTATATCGTCCTTCTTGGTCGGCCCTGCAAGGATGGTGGGTCGTTGTTTAAACAATTTCGAGCTACGGTTTATAAAAGACACTGCCTTCCAATCTATTCCTGAACCCCCACCATCCGAATACCACCCAACCAACATGGCAGAACCAGTCTCTTTCCTGGACCTATACATTCGCGCATTTGTCCACAAGGAAAGATCAGGTACGCCAGTAGTCCTATAACTACACCGTTAATACAGCTTATGTCAAGTTATCTCCACAACCTTTTATTACTTCACTATGAAACAGACGTAGTAGGCCGCATAGTTGCTGTCTCCAAACCTTATGTGGAGGAATCATCTGATAGAACGACAATGCACCAACTCATTATCCTGGAAGATAATTGGTATGCAAGCAGTCTTGATAAGTCTTACATTGCTCAAATAATATATGTTTCTTATATCCACTGTCATGGTTTTTACATGCAGCGAGCGACAGATCCTAAC